ATGAGTCTTTTTTATTCATCAAATCAAGGATGCATTGTTAGAATTTAAGATTACTATTTCCCTATAATAAAGCTGCATTTATTTTAAAAATATCTAATTTCTGAAATTTACTGACTTATACAGAGAAACTTTATTTTGTTCAAAATAGTGATGAACTACATGATTTAAAAAACTGTTAAGAAACCAAGAAACTGTACTAACCTGAGTGACTAGAACACAGTTTCAAGACCCCTTTTCAAAGCTTAATAGAGATTCTGATGTTGAATGATGTCACTTAATGCATTTATTACTAAGGTCATACTCAGTAACTTTCTGATTTTAGGCATTAACTTTCCTGGTTTTAATTTTCTTAAACTAGATATCACAATGATAAGGATGGTCTCTTAAGATCATTAAACTGATGATTGACAACACTATTATAAAACTTGTCTCCAAGGTAAATTATAGGATGAACTCACTCTATATTAAGAAATACATATTTACTTAAAATTAAGGTTACACTATCCTTTCATTTTTCCTTATACTCCTTTGTTTCCAATCCAGATCTATTTCTAAGATTTCTATTTTACTCTTTGTTATTATTAATTGAATTTTTTGCAGTTTCAAGAATTGAAGCCCTGTGTGTTATAGAAAAGACTCTACCTTCCCCATGTGATCATTTGTCTTTATTGTCAACTTGATACACCCCAGCATCAGCTGGGAGATAGGCCTGTGGGCATGCCTATGAGGGCTTATCCTGATCATGTCAACTGTGGGCAGTACCATTCACTAGAAAAGGACATAGGACTGTACAAAATGTAGAAGTAACATGAGCGCTAGCATGCTGTCATGGCTCTCTACTGGTGATTATGGATCTTGTGAACAGCTACTTCAGCCCCTGACACCTTGAATCCCCTACTGTGATGGACCATACCCTGGAACTGTAGCTCAGAACAAACCCCTTCCCTTGAGTCCCTTTCGTCAAAGCACAGCACCAGGGAAAGAATCCAAGATATCAAGTCTTTGAATTTTAAAAAACAGGTTCCTACTAGATAGCACTGGTTGATCTCAGATTCATAACTGCTACCTCAGCCTCCTCAGTGCTTAGAATTACAGGCATGTTCAACCATTTTTTAAATCCATTGTACATCCCACTGAACCTGAAAAGGCACGTATTTCTTTATTCTGAAATAAGTATTCTAAAATAAATATGGCTTTTTTGTTTTATTTTTAAGCAGGGTTTCTCCGCATAGCCTTGGCTGTCCTTGAACTCAGTCTATAGACCAGACTGGCCTTAAAGTCATATAGATCCATCTGTCTGTGCCTCCCAATTACTGGGATTAAAGGCGTGAGTCATCACCACCTGGCTAAGTGTGACCGCTCAATAGAACAATGCCATCCACAGCTGATGGGATCTTATCCTTTAATTTCTTATATAGACCAAAACCTTTTGCATATTTTAATCTGAAGGGTGCTAATAGAATTATTTATTCTAAAATTTTACCAATAATATGAGAAAATGTAAAGTGTTTTCAAATTGTGTTTATCACTGATGACTAAGAACTGGATTCTCACACATTTCAAGGTTTACTTCAAAACTGTACATCTCAAAGCAAGCTCAGCATGAGATTTCTTTATGAAGCAACTGAGGAAAGTTTTCACGATGCCCAAGTTATATGTTAGTTAAGGAGAAAAGAAAGAAACAGGCTATGTGGGACCTTTGATGAGAGTCCATTTAGTGTCCACGCCACTTCCTATTTAGAGTCTACAAGAACTTCTCAAGTCTAGTTCACTTGGGATTTTAATGTCCACTGGCAAGCTTTCAGAATGTCTCTGTAATAGTTAGGACAGCTAAGAGCCCTAAAGAGTGTCTCAGATCTTAGACTCTGGATGGCCTTACAAGATCATTTAAATTGAGAACCTTTTGAAAGCACCATGGTGAATGCTGGGCTAAGTAAAATTTAAATCAAGAACTCATATTTTAGCCATATTTTAATGGTATTTACTCAATTTGCCTGTCTTGTTTATCATTTTTTCTAAAGTAAACACCTTTGATCCTCATAGGATGTAAGGAAAGATTAAGTAAAACCAAATTTAAATGAAGACCTGGGCTTGGTGACATGCCTGCAATGTGAGCACTCAGGAGCATGAAATAAGAGAAATGAGAGTTTGAAGCTAGCTGAGTTGGGGGCAGGGGTGGAAGGCAAGAATTCTTCCCTTCAACGTCAACATGGAAACGATAAAACTGCCTTCACTGAAGTTTAAAGTGATGTTTCAGGGTTCATGGTTAATAAACCCACCAGATTCTTTGTTTAAATCTAGTTTATAAGAAAATTTCAATTATGAGCTGGGCATTGGTGGCGCACGCCTAATTTATTCCCAGGACTTGAGAGGCAGAGGCAGGCAGATCTCTGTGAGTTCAAGGCCAGCCTGGTCTACAAATCGAGTTCCAGAACAGCCTCCAAAACAATACAGAGAAACCCTGTCTCGAAAAACCAAAAAAAAAAAAAAAAAAAAAAAATTCAATTGTTTTTAACTGCACAGAGTGTTTTAATTCAAACACTCAATGCACAACCAGACAGACTTCTGTCAGTTCCAGGCAAAGCTGGTCTACACAGTGAGATTCTGTCCCGAAAAAAAAAAGAAAAATATTTGAATGTTTAAAAGAGATTTCTTTTATATGCATGTGCTTTCATGCCAGTTTGTGCTCATTCATGCAAATTCCCTCGGAGACCAGAAGAGGGCACTGAATAGTTTAGAGCTAGAGAAACAGACTGTTGTGGGCTTCCAATGCTGATGCTGGGAACCAGGCTTTTCTGAGAAAGCATAAAGCAATCTTAATTGCTGAGCCATCAATCCAGTCTCTGAGTTTCAATTTCAAAAAAAAAAAAGTGAATAAGCTTCTTTGAAAATACTTGCAAAATTCCTTACATTAAAGGAACATTTTAATTGCAATATACGTAAGAGCAAGAATAAAAAGTATTTTATTCAAATAATGAACAAATTGAAATGTTTGACCTTTTTTCTTTTGGTGGTGCTGAAGACTGCACATGGGACACATGCTGGACAAGCTTTCAACCCAAGTTATACTGAAACCTTAAAGCATACCTTAAAATGCATTAAAGAAATAACATATTTATCAAGGAACAAGGCCATAAGCTAGTCTCGCTTACCAAAGTATTCCTTGTCTCATGTGGCTTATTATAGTGGACTACAGTTGTTTTCCTGGGAAGCCATGGTGTAGCTCTATTCCAGACCCTGGTTCTCATCTACCTTTTTATGATTTAGCACAGTGGTTCTCAACCTTCCCAATACTGTGACCCTTTAATACAGTTCCTCATGTTACCTCATGTTATGGTGACCTCCGACTATAAGATTTAAAACTATTTTCTTTGTTACTTCATAACTGTAATTATCTGATATGCAGGATATCTGATAAATGACCGCTGTGAAAGAGTAGTTCAATCCCCAAAAGGGTTGCCACCACTTAAGAACCACTATATAGACTAATCTATGGGGTATATTAAAAAAAAAAAAGACTCTGCTATGTATCCAGTTTTATTCAGGGTTTGCTGCAGTGGTTTTGTGCTGTAACCCTGGAATCCTCACTGATAAATATCTAGTAAGTGATAGACAGGGAGGTGGAATCAGGGTGGGGATGACTCCATGGAGTGGGAAGTACCCAGACAGGAAGTGTTATTCAGGATCTGAAGCAGCTTTACCTGAGGTCTGCTACCTGGTGTGGTCACCAAAGTTTACTGTGTCCCAAATCATCAAAGGGTTGTCCAGGATTTATAAGCTATCATAACTACATGCCTAACCATCCCTGTTACTTGAATTCCTAAATCCTTTACACATAGGAAACTCAACACTACTAACACCAACAATAAGCAAAGAAGGATGAGACTGCAACTGTGAAAGCAGTTATGAACACCCTCAAAGCAGGAGCACCATGAGACAGCAAGGGAAAGAGTTTCATGTGCCACAGCTGAGGTTTAATGTTGTGACCAAGGGAAGGTCAGACTGATGTCCAAACCTCTTTAGCTCAGGTGGTAAAGCTGTTATGGATGCAAGCCTTAAATTAAAGGAGTTAAATTGTGAACATAGGAGTTTTCTTCCATTTCTTTTATTTTAAAAATTATTTGGTGTATTTTCTGCTAGATCCTGGCCTTTGAATAACTTTAAAACAAAATAGCTTTTTTTTCTAAAGTGCAACAGGAAGCAATGATGCTGTTCTATATTAAAGAGAAATTTCTGTTTCATGATTAGCTATATAGTCCAGTCACTTAATGGAATAGAGATCATACAACTGTGGAAAATGAATTAAAGGAATGCAACAAAACTAAAAATCCTTCATAAAAACTCTTCAGATGTCAGACAGTTGTGGCACACGCCTTTAATCCCAGCACTCTGAAGGCAGAGGCAAGATCTCTGTGAGTTCCAGATCATTCTGGTCTACAGGGAGAGTTCCAGGATAGGCTCCAAAGCTACAGAGAAACCCTATCTCAGAAAACAAACAAACAAACAAAAAAACTCCTCAGACATAAATTTCTGTCATAATCCATTAGGATTTCCTAACACTATAATTAAATAAAATTTCAGCAATTCCTACAATTAAAAAGAGATAACAGATAATACTATGAAAATGATGAGAAAAATGGAACAAAATTATAGACCATGTTGCCGACTCACGTAAAGAGCATAAAATATTTACAACTTAACCTTCAAGATTTAGAAAACATGTTTATTTCCAAAGTTTACCTACTAAAGAAGAAAATCAATTTAGCATTTCAAGTTTGCAGTTGTGAAATATATTTTAAGAAAATGTATATGTGTAACCACATATGTGTAAAAACAAAATATATGTGTAACAACAATACTTATAGAAGGAGTCATGAACTTTGTAAGGGAGAGGGACATGGAAGGAGTTGGAGGGGGAGAGGAAAACATAGAAATAATGAAATACAGTACTCAGATCAAATTCTCAAAAATAAAAAAAATAAATAGAAAAAAGGTCATACCCTGTGCTTAGAAGCAAGTAGGTTGACATCAAGGAAAGAAGTATGCTGGACAGTCGCTGAAAGAGAGTTGTGGAACTCAGAAGTGGCACAATCAAGGAAGAGGCTGTAAGAAAACAGAGTCCAGCGTCAGTTCTGTAGACCCAGGCAACCCACCACCACTTTTGCAATTTAGGGTTTGTGTGACCATTAATATAACCCCAGGATTTCTGGAAGAAAACAGAAACATTACATTTTTAACTAAAATTATATCATGGGTTAAGTAATTCAGGTGTTCTCAATTTTATTTAAACCAGATCACTATAATAATATTGACTCCCACAAGAATAATTTACTATTTTCTAATGAAATAAAATGTATTACTTAAGGTTCAACAACTTGTCTCTTAGACATTTAAGTCCTAGTTCAAAGCAACATATTCCCTAGAAATTGATTATGTCTAACTTCAGAGAAGTAGGCATCTAGAGTTGTTTTGTGCTACCTGGTATATAAAAATCAGGACAGAAAGAATTCCCCATATGTCAGAGTTGTGGAAGCCATCCTAGAAAATTAACTACCTCAACATGGGCAAGGAGATGAAAAGGGTGTCAAAGCAAACACAAACTCCACGGCTGTTTCTGAGAGGGACTGTACACAACTGCCTAACATCCCAGGTGCTCCAGAATAGGAACCTCAGGTGATGTTTTGCTGAATCACTCACTAATTGGTTTTACTGAGCTCAAGTTTATTAATCCATCTAAGGAGAAGTTTATAAAAATGCCAAATAGGGATAACATCCCAGAAAACTTGCCTTGAGTTTTGAGTAAAATTTCATCTAGAAAATGCCTAATATTAGTTGCTATCTTCATTAATAATTAGTATCATGCAAAGTAAACTAAATTTATGAATAATTTTAATTAAAATTAGAAGTCCCTTCAAGATTCAAAGCTCTACAAGTCCTATTTATAAAGCATTAGCTAAGGTGTAGTGATAGATCAATAATCTTACTGATGATACATACTCTAATGTAAGAAATAACTTGTAATGTTTTTTATTTTAAGCCAGCTAAAGTATGTTCTTGGTTGTTTGTTAGTAAATTCTCTTTTCCCAAAAATTCAACATTAAGTTTAAGGCCTCAAGCATACTGAGCAAGTGCTATACCACTGAGCTACAACCCTAACAAAAGCCACTTAAAATGAAACCAATTTTCCAATACTGAATATTTCATCTTGGCTTTATTTTTGCCTAAAGGAATAATAAGGTACTAAATAGAGATTAAGAGTCTCCATTCTAAGTAACATAAACATAAAGATATGAATAAACTACATAGATATCCAAACTGGGAGAGGGGAATAGGAATTCTTATATGGAATGCATGTGTGTTTTATTTACTATAGCGTATGACAATAAGACTAGGGAAATACTTTACATAAACAAACAAAGGTACTATTTTTCCTTCCTTTCTTTCTTTTCAATTCCACAGGGTCTCACTACATATCCCTAGTTGGCCTGGTACTCTCTATATGAGCAGGTTGGCCTTTAACTTAAGAGATACACCAACCTCTGCCACCCCAGTGCCGGTATCAAATGCATGCACCACCACTCCAGGCCAAGGGAACCATTTTTGTTTGTTTTGATTTGCTTTATTTGAGACAGTATATAGATCTGACTGGTCTGGAACTCATGGAGATCCTTCTGCCTCTGCAAAGGAACTTAAAAAACTGTGAGCAGAGAGTACAAATAACTCCATTCCTATAATATCCTTAAGACTTTATTCCTTCTGTGTATTCACTTTTGAAGCAGTTGTGAACTATCATATAGGTGCTGAAAGTTCATCCTTGGTCCTCTGCAAAAGCAGTAAGCACATGTAATCACAGAGCCATTTTACCACCCCATATCTAACAATCTTAAATAAGAGGAACATGATTAGAAACATTAAGTAGCTTCATAAAATATACATCATGTTGGGAAACAGCTAGTCTCTGTTGCCTTTAGCAAGGAAAACATAAATTTAATCATTTACTAATATGTGTAAGACCTGAAAATATAAAAACTGACATGAAAATTAATTATATATTATATATATACAGAATGGAATATTAAAAAAAATCTCTTCTGGAATCACTCGGTAGATGTTATTAGATGTTCGTAAGTACACAGTCCAATTATCAAGCCACAAATACTCTATCAAATAATTCTTACTAACCCATGTGTGCTCACAGGAGTTCTACTTTTCTTTGTCAAATTCTAGAAAGAAATAGAAATAATAGCTGGCTACAATTTTCCTTCATCAAAATGATTTCTTTTCGCACAATGCAGATGTAAAGGTATCATTTTTTGTTTTGTTTTGTTTTTTCTTTTAAGATAAGAGACTGGAGGTGAAGTTTTCCAATTTGGTTAGATTGGCCACTTACCCAACGTTGCCCAGCTCACAATCTGATTCATAAGAGGCAGGCCTTCTTTCTTTAATAGACTGTGGTGGGTGCTGTACACAACATACATAGAGAGCACTGTACTCAGCATCTGAAAACACACACCAACCAGGTTAGCAGAGGGAAGGTGGAAAAGAGACACACTAGGAAGACAATGCTGAGAAAGTGCTTAGAAAAACTGCAATGTGGCTGAAATGCTGGAACTGGACCAGGCTGCCTTCTTGTGCTCCAGAACTACCAATTAGTAGTGCCATGAGAAGCCAGACTTGCCTGAGGATGACACGAGGCACAACACATCTCATCAGTGCTTCATTTAGAAGTTTCTGTTACAAAGGTTGAAGGTTTCGTAAATTATACAAATGGAAGGAGTGTGTAGTTTAGTGCCTTTCCCATCTCTGTTCCTTTGTACAGCAATATCCATGTATTTATTTATTCAACACATTTTTCAGTCTGGATATTTACCTGGCCCTGGGAACTAAGACAGTATAAATGTTCATTATACGTTACTGTATGTGAGGAGTCAGCTTAAGGTTGTTCTCATAAAAACTGCTTTATTGCAACATAGTCTCTCCCATTCATTTATGCATTGCCTCCCTTTGGGCTGACATGCTAGACTTGAACATTTTAAACAGACTCTATATGCATGACAACCAAAAATATCATCTAGCTGTATATAAAAATGACTAATGATCTTTGAACTCATGAATTAATTACCATTTTAAAGAAATGAACTAAAGTATGACTATAACAAAATTAAATCCTAGAGATAAATTTATTTGGTCTTTTCAGGTGATAAATTAAGACACACAAAAAATTGCTGTAAATAAAGCCATTATGAAATCCTAGGATCCTTTCTATTGTAAGACAAGACACTGTGATGGCTTTAAGAGGTATGGCCTCCATAGACTTAGGTGTGTGAATGCTTAGCATATAGGGAGTGGCACTATTAGGATGTGTGATCCTGTTGGAACAGGTGTGGCCTTGTTGGAGAAACTGTCTCACTGTGGAGGTAGGTTCTGAGGTCTCATAAATGCTCAAACCATGCCCAGTAAGTCAGTTCACTCCCTGTTGCCTGTGGGTCAAGAAACAGAGCTCTCAGCTCCTTTTCCAGCACCATGTCTGCCTGCATGCCACCATGGTACTTACCACAACGATAATGAACTAAACCTCTGAAACTGTAAGTGAGCCAACACAATAAAATTTTTTCCTTCCTTTATAAGTGTTTCTGTGGTTATGGTATATCTCCCAGCAATAGAAATCCTAACTAAGAGACATATTCTAAATTCAGAGATGCCAAAATACGGGGGAAAAATGCCTTGGGATCAATAAAATATGTCAGGCAGCACAAGAATTAATGCAAATTGCTAAAGATAATGCAAGAACTTTATAATGGAGTTACATAATACTCAGGGTTATTTCTAACCAAGTATGTAAGAATTTAAGCATGATATTCTTCCCTCCTTTGGAATGAGAGTCAGGAACACAAGCTCCTGTCAAAGCTCTCATTACTGTAGGCAGATTCTGTCAAAACTACACGGCTTTAGAGAAAAGCCAGTCAAGTGTGCCATTTACAATGAAACATATGTTCCTAGGCTTGACAGGGTGTTTACTAAGGCTTCTGTTTTTATGAGTTCACTACTGCTCTCTAAGAACAAATGTAACTTATTATATCTTTTAAGCATGGTAATATTTTTATTTCACACTACTTTGTAAATCCTTACATTATGATGTCTTTGTTCTGAGAGAACTTTCTGAGAAGACTCACGTGGGTTTAGTAGAGCTCCAGATATGATTATTTATCCATTAAAGAACAAAGAGAAGAGCTGGTATAGAAGTGGTGAAAGGGAACTCATGTTGGTGGGAATGTAAACTAGTACAGACATTTTAAATACCAGTCTGGAGGTTTCTCAAAAACTGGAAATAGAACTGACACATGACCTGGCTATATCTCTCCTGGGCATACACCCAAATGGCCTCATATCCACAGTCACTTAAATACCCATATTCACTGATACTCTATTCATAATACCTAGGAAAAAGAATTAACCTGGACGACTATTAAGAGACGAATGGGTAAGAAAAGTATAGATGAACTATTGCTCAGCTGGACTGGCCATGGCTATTACACACATGAACTCACAGTGTTATAATTACCTGCACAAGAGAAAGCAAGCCTAAATCCTGGCATAGATGGGGGAGGTACTCTCTAGGCATCACCAACAAATGAGGAGGTATTGGCAGCTGACAGCTATGAGAGAGGGAGAATCACTTTTTTTTCACTTATTTTTATTTATTTTTTACATTCCAATCCCAGTTCCCCCTCAGTGGAGCCCATTCTATATGGAGAGAATCATTCTTTTATGAGGGTGCTCCCACTGGTTGGTTTCCCATGTCCCAGTGAATGGTCTCACACCCATACATATGTGGACATCAATAGATGAACTTGGTGGTACATATATATAATGGGATATTATTCAACTGTAAAGTAAAATGGAATTATGAAATTCATAGGTAAATATACTGCATGTTGTCTCTTATATATAGAGGACAGATTTGATTCTTTAGATATATGTTTAGAGCACCAACAGATGACAGGAAACCAATAAGGTGCAATGGGAGGGCACTCAAGTTGTTGGTCAGTGTGATCCCAAAGACTCTTTTCAATAATATTATAGGTTACATCCATTGCTTTCAGTTACCCTCCAGAGGTTAATGGCAGGATTTCTGCTGAAGACACCGCATACACAGAGGACATGGAGAAATTAAGTGATACTAAGCAGGAAGCACCATCCTGATGGCCTAGCTTTTACAGGGCAGTAAGGTGCTATGCATGTTACTGGGAAAAAAATAATCAACTCTTTTACCCAGCTGTGAACACTTCCAGCTACAATAATGGGACTGGCAGGACAGGCCCACGAGTGCAATAGTTACACATTTATTACGGGAGTAACCAGTCACTTTCTGCTTGAACATAACCTCCTTGACAAGATGGACCTCATTGCTTGTACTGTTAACTGAACCAAAAACCTAGATCATAGGCCCTAGATTAGAACCTAGCACTATTATTCTGCTAAACAGACATAGCTAACTCTTCCCTAAGTTCTTATCTTTACACCCACACAGCAGAGCATCTTTCAACTCTCATCACAGACACTATTTATAGCAGGTGGGGATTAATACAGAGACCTACAATTGGTCAACATGCAGAGAAGAAGAGATCATTGTGGAGAGGGGATGGAAACGTTGTAAGAGCCAGAGGTAGTGAAAGTCAGACATGACAGCACCACTGCATACATGAACTCATAGCAACTATGACTGCAAGCATAGACCTGCAGGAGACTATGCCATTCAAACTTCCAGCACACATGGGTGTGGGGAGCACATAAAACTTCACCCCTATCAGAGAAGCTGCTGGCAATAGGGGGCTTCTGGAGGATGAAGAGTCAGTTTTCTTCAGAGGTAACAAAGTAGATTCAGTAGATTTAAAAAGCAAACACATGAAGTTGGCAAGGAAAATTGTTTGGGGATAAGGTAGAAATTGGAGGGGAGGGAATGGGGACCAACTTTGACCAAAGCACATTATATGCATGTATAAAATACTCAAAAAAGGGGGGCATAAAGTTGAATGGGGAACACATTCATGGGAATATGAAAGCAATTGACAGAAGAAACTGTTTATATGCATGAAATTCTCAAGGATAAAGGAAAATTATAATAAAAACAAATTAAAATTTTAAGTATAAAGATAAGAAATGAAACCTATTGTTGAAAACAACAATAAAAAAAGAATTAAGGAGGACTAGTATCCTACTGAAAAAGTGCTTTCTAGGACATCTGTTCAACTATGCTCACAGCAGCATTATTTGTAATAGCCAGAACCTGGAAGCAACCTAGATGCCCCTCAATTGAAGAGTGGATAGAGAAAATGTGGTACATATACACACAATATAATACTACTCAGCAGTAAAAAAAAAACAATGACATCTTAAAATTCCCAGGCAAATGGATGGAACTAGAAAAAAAAAACATCTTGAATGAGGTAACCCAGACACAGAAAGAAAAACATGGCATATACTCAATAATAAGTGGATATTAGACATAGAGCAAAGGATAACCAGCCTATAATCCACAACCCCAGAGAAGCTAGGAAACAAGGAGGATGTTAAGAGAGAAATGCATGGTCCCCTGGTGAAGGGGAAAGGGACTGGGCATGGGAGGAGGGAAGAGGAAAGAGGAAAGTAGGAAAGTAAAGAGGCTAGAAAGGGAGGGGGGAGAAGAAATGAGGGATCAGGAATGTTGACTTGAGGGAAGGACAGAGAAGAAGAGCAAGGAAAGATACCATGATAGAGGGAGCCATTATGGGATTAATGAGAAATATGGCTCTAAGGAAATTCCCAGGAATCCACAAGGATGACCCTAACTAAGAATCTAGGCAATAGTGGAGAGGCTATCTCCAATGCCCTTCCCCTATAATGAGATTGATGACTAACTTAAATGCCATCCTAAAGACTTCATCCAGTAGCTGATGAAAACAGAAGCAAAGATCACAGATAAGCACTGAGCCAAACTCCTGGAATCCAGTTTCGGAGAGGGAAGAACAATGAACAAAGGCATCAAGACCATGCTGGAGTAACCCACAGAAACATCTGACCTGAGCAAATAGGAGCTCACAGACTCCAGTCTTACAGCTGGGAAACCAATATAAGACCCAACCAGGCCCCCTGAACATGGGGCATTGTCAGTGGAATCAGTGCACGAATTGGCTTTTTGGAGTCCATTCCCTATGGAGGGATGCTCTCTCAGTCTAGTTACAGGGGAGAGGGCCTCAGTCCTGCCTCAAATGATGTAACAGACTTTGGTGATTCCCCATGGAGGCCTCAAGCTCTCTGAGGAGTGGATGGGGGGTTGGTATGCAGAGATGGTGGGAAGGATGGGAAGGAGAGGGAACTGGGATTGGTATGTAAAATAAAATTGTTTTAATTTAAATAAAAATTTAAAAAAAGAAAATGTGCTTTCTATTCTTATCTATAAAACGTATAGTTTTATAAAATATGGCACCATGTAATCTCTAGCTTTCAAAATCCCATAAGCTATTTATTGCACTAACATTAAAAAAACCTGGCATTACATTACTGAAAACCACACATCTTGTAAACAGAATATCGGGATACCAACTAATGTTAAAACGCTGTGTTTAATGTTCTTTTTGCTACACCGCAGCCAACAACCACCTCACGCTTATCTCCCAGGCTGTCACCTGCTGCCTTCATGTAAACAATCCCAGCTGTTACCACTTCAAGGCAGGAAGTCTCAGTCCAGAGGAAGCACTTAAAGCTCAAGTCTAGTCAGCAAAGATGGCCTAAAGGCTCCTTAACTGCTGTTCCAGGTTACCTCTTGCTGACCTTTTTGCTATTTATATTTCTGTGTGCCAACTTATTTCTCAAGTGACAGTATTGAGTGATAGGAATACAGGAATGTAATAGTATAACAATAAGATACATTTTATTATATGGTTAGTATGACATACTATTAAAAATTTGCAACTGACCTGTAATAGAAGTACCAACAGCTCCTCCTTTACCAAAGTAATTTTTCTTTTTGAGAGAGTTGTTACAATAGCCAGGGACAGCAGGAGGACCAGCAAGCCTGCACCCATTCTGTTTCAAAATATAATTCACATTAAAACTTTTCTAAAGAAGTTTACTAAAGACAGCATATGAAAACAGGCGACACTTGACTCAAACATAGAACTCTAAAACACTTCAGTTAATTCACAAGAAATAGTAAAGCTGGCAGAGGAATGGTGGAAAAAAGCAGGATAAGCCCACAGCAGGGCTACTTGGAATCACATTCCACATTTCAGTATATTTACCTTATTATCTTATTTCTCTAATTCATTCACCACGCCATGTTTCTTAATCTGAACTGGGCAAATACCCAGAAGAGAATATAAAAGAGAGCTAAACAGATGACTGTCACCATATGCAATGCAGATTCTGACACTGAGAATTCATTCACACAGAGAAAAACATAGCACTCCCTTCAGGCCAAGCAGCTCCTTCCTGTCACTGACCTTGGTATCCCTCAGCTGGCAAGGCTGTAAGGTAGGGTAGTGGTCCCAAAGGTGTTGGGGGGGTACATCACCGTACAAGTCATCTTGTATATGATGAAGTAGATAATTTCATTATCTAGACCATCAGGAAGGTGGGTCACTAAAGTCACTGGCAACTAACAAAGAATTTTAGCTCTGTTTCTTCATAAAACTCTGAGTAATATAACTGAAAATATGTTCAAGATACAATCCATAACTCTAAAAGAACTAAGGAAAAATGAGCTTGTTAGAGAAATAAGCCAGCGCAAATGCGTGATTAAATATAGGGCAAGAACATGGTTGACTGAAGTTGGTTGCTCTTTTACTCTTTAGGCGTTTTGCTCTTCAGGGGGCCTGCCACCCAGCTCCCAGATAAATCACACACAGAAACTTATTCTTTCTTATGAATGCCCAGCCTTAGCTTGGCTTATTTCTAACCAGCTTTCCTTAACCTAGATTATCCCATCTACCTTTTGCCTCTGGGCCTTTTCTTTTTCTTACTTCTGTGTATCTTACTTACCCTCTTACTCCATGGGTAGCTGCCCCAGAAGTCCTCCTCTCCTTGCTCTTTTGCTCTTTCCTTTCCCAGATTTCTCTTCCTGTTTATTCTCTCTTCATGCCAGTCCCAACTATTCTTTCTCCTGCCTCACTATTGGACATTCAGCTCTTTATTAGACCAATCAGGTATTTTAGACAGGCAAAATCATAGTTTCACAGAGTTAAACAAATGCAATAAAAAAGAATGCAACACATCTTTGTATCATTAAACAAATGTTCCACAGCATAAACAAATGTAACTCATCTTACAATATTCTACAACAAATGACATTTGTTTTAATTTTTCAAATAATCTGAGTCATAAGAAAAAACATCACCACTTGAGACATAATAAAACTCAAGGAAAGTAGCTATACAAAATAAAAATTTTTGCTTTTTTTCTTTCTTTCAAAAAGTAAAATGCATCTTAAATCATTGGCAACACTTTTGCTGTAATACACTGGCTCACCTAATCTGACAGTTAACTATATTCCTATCTGCTCTTCTTATTTTAACCTTAAATGCTTCATGTATCTGTTTCTGTAATCTAGAGGATGGAAATGCTGTGAGAGAGCAAATGAAGATAGAACTTCCTCTATGAACTAAGAATAAATTGTACATAATCACAGGAAGCCAACATGAACTCAACATTAATAGCAATTTAAATCAAGTTTAGAGAGAAACATCATAATTTTCAAAAACACAAATTTGATTTTTCACATTTTAGAAGGTTTATTTGCTTTCTGAGTCAGTCTTTAGTGGAATACACAAGTGGCAAATTTCTACGGAGATCGTTTATGCAATTTATTCCCCTTTTAGCATATTATTACTTCCCTAACTCTGTCAATGCTGCTTGAGCAGGACAAATGGACAGTGGCTGACAGAAGGATAAAAGGGCCTTACAGAGACACCAGAAGAACTTGCAGGACAATCTGCATAATAATATGTAAATACATAGGAGTATTTGAATTTAGTTTCTCACATGCTATGTATTCTTCATGAAAGTTCCAAAACTTTGACTTAGCAATTCTGTAATATAAAAGTATAGCTTAGATGGTGGGGTCTTATAATTCAGTACAATTATTGGGCTCTGCTTATAAACTGCATTCCTAAAACAACTCCTGATCTAGCACACACTGATTTTGTTGTATAAAACCAGGAAAACTAACCAACAAAGAAATGCAAAAAATGTCTTAAATTATTGTGTAGCTTGTACCTCTTGTGGGACTCCTAACAGTGGGAGCAGAGGCTGTCTCTGACTATTTTAGTGGCTTTTAGGACCCTATTCCTCAAACTGGGTCACTATGCTCAGCCTTCATACATACTTAGTCTTACTGCAACTTGGCATGTCCATGTTTTGTTGATACTCATGGGAGACTTATCCTTTTCTACACAGAAACAGAGGAGCAGTGGATTGGGGGTTGAGAACATTTTGGGTATGGAGGGAGGGACTGAAGGAAGAGGTTAGAGAGGAAACTGTAGCCAGGATGTAAATGAATAAATGTTTACTAAAAAATAATAAAAAGAATTTCTTAAATTAACAATCGCTTACAAATATTCAGTTAATCTTCCTACTATAAAAAAAAAAGATATACTCCTCATCTTTTAAAAATTTGGTTAAAATGCTTTTAAAAAATGCCCATAGTGAATCGGGCAGTGGTGGTCCACATCTTTAATCATAGCACTCCATTGGCAGAGGCAGGTAGATCTCTGAGTTCAAAGCCAGCGTGGTCTACAGAGCAAGTTCCAGAACAGCCAGGGATACACAGAGAAACCTTGTCTCAAAAAGCAAAAGTTTAAAAAATGCCCAGAGCATTCAGATGTAAGCATCAAAGATGACTATATGATTTGTAAAAAGAATGAAGTGGGGTGGTATACCTGCCTAAATCTCAGTACTCAGAAGGTTGAGGCAGGACCCTTGTGTTTGAGGCCAGCCTGGGCTACATATACAGGTAAAAGAACTACAGCAGCTAGATGAAACAAAGATAATTTAGTCAAGTACACACAGACATACAAGGACACACACACATGAGGTGGAGAGGAGTGCCACTAGGTTACCTAATAACAACTTAAAAAATGTAAAAGCAAAGACAACCAATGTGTTTTGTTTTGTTTGTTTTTTGTTTTTTTGGAGACAGGGTTTCTCTGTATTGCTTTGGAAGCTATCCCAGAACTTGCGCTGTAGACCAGGCTGGCCTCCAACTCACAGAGATCCGCCTCCCTCTGCCTTCCAAGAGCTGGGAGTAAAGGCGTGCGCTGCCAACACCCAGCAGCAACCAATTATTTTTTAACACTTGTCTACATCATATTGAGGAAAAACATATCATCAACATTTGGGAACATCTTTAAAACATAAAGGTTTCTATACAATTTGAATGGTTAAACACAGAAAAGTTTTCTAGCAAGTAGAAGGTCCCAGGATTGATTCCTACCTAGTTCTACAGACAAAACAAAACAAGACAACAATGGCCCTGTTCCCATCGCTGAATAATGCAGCAGGGTGCTGCCCCCAGCTCTCAGGAAAGATGACCTCTCTCCCAATGGGCAGGATCCTAGGAGAGCTGGTTCACTTGAGGAGGCAGTCCCCATGGACCCCAACCAGCTCAGCTACAATCCAGACCCACATCCTGGGCTTTGAGTTGGCCAACCTAACATGTACCCCATTTATGACCTACATGAAGGGGGATAACCACAGGGTCCCTATGACTGGGGACAACAACAGGATATCCCAGAGGAGTTTCAGTGAGGGTCCAGTGATAATGGTGTGCCAGAGGCCAGAGGCCTCGAACCAAGCCAATGACTCATTGCAATGAACATTTGTGGGCAGGGCTGGTTGGACAAAATGTATACTTCGTGACACATGGCAGCTCCCAATACCACTAGGATGAATGAAACATATTGGAAAGATGGAAGACTGAGATGGGCTTTTCTTTTGTTTTGAATTAATCATTTTTTGTGGGGGAGTATGCTGTAAGAATTAGGGGCAGATATGGAAAGACTAGAAGGTAAAACAGATTGGGGTGCCTGATTTGAAATTTCCCCAAGAATTATGTATAAAGACTAAAATTAAAAAGGACAATACAAAATAAATGTAAAGCTTTCAAAATAAATAGATTTTCCCCCCTACAGGAAAAATTTTTAATTCAAATAGGACAAACTTCCATTTGTCAATGGAATTTGGTTATGGGCACACCCAAAGGCAACACTTCAGCAACAGTACACTTTCACATGTAACTAAAATTTTGACAGATTCTATAATACTCAAAATAAAAAATTACCTAGTCTAAGGGTGGGGGTAAGTTTTAAGTTATTGCCTGGTGCAATTTCATTGCCTGTGAAGGTCTGGTAGCATGTCCAAGGTGACCAAGCCTCTCAGGTGAAAGGCTAAGATTATAACTAGTAATTTTACATTACTATTTCAAGTTTATCCATGCAATATTAAGCTTAGAACCAAGGTGTTGGGACTGGAGAGTTGGATCAGTAGTCAAGAACACTTCCTACTGTACAGGAGGATGGCAGTTCAATTCCCAGCACCCACACAACAGGTGCTCCCAGGCACTGCAATCTCAGATCCAAGGGATCTCACATCCTCCTGTGGCCTTCATGATTCTCCACATACATATCACACACACACGCACATACACACACAAAGAGAGACAGAGAGAGAGAGACAGAGACAGAGGGGGGGGGTTGGGGAATTGTTTTCAAATGTCATAGTGTCAGAAGAGTACAAATTCTATTGAAATGAAAAACAATAATGTACGTACACTAGAGAGAGATCTGGCTTTCTACCCACAACAGGCATCAGTGGGAACACTGCCAGAAGCAAAGAGAAGAGAGCCCAACTCAGGCAGGTGATCTACAATCAAGAAAAAAAAATACATTTAAACAAATATGGTAGAGAAATCTGTTTTTAGCATCCCATATAGTACACAGCTGTGAAACTAAAAGCAAAACCCATTTGGTATTTACTGTGGAAAGTAACATTGTGTTAGTTAGTTTTGTAATGACAAAATGTATGGCAGGAAGCAACTTAAAGAAGGAAGGATTTGTTTTCCCTCACAGTGCTGTCCATCATGGCAGGGGAGTCATGACAGCACCAGCTTGAGGCAGTTAGTCACACTGCAACACGTCAGGAAGCAGAGGAAAGTGAACGTTGATGCTCACTTTGCCTTCTTGTTTTTCCCCCTAATAGCACAAGTATTTAAAGGAGGACCTTTCACCTTGATTACTTTAGAAATCGCTCAGACACTCCCAGAGACTACTTTCTATAGGAACCCTTATCCCGTCAAGATAACAGTCAAGATCAACCATTACAAATATGGTTAACTTAAATAATATTTACTATCTGCTTTGGGTTTATTGTTAGAAATTTTCATACATGTGCTTTGGTCAGATTCCCTCCCAACTTCATGTGTTTTTTAAAACCCACAGAATCCATGCAATGCTACTCCCCTAGGAAAGAACTGTGTGGATGGGGCAAAAGGGAGGTTACTCCTCAGAACCCCTAGGCCATTTTCTTCTTTCAACAGTGTGCAGACTTCTCCCTCGTTGAAGTACTAGAGGCTCCATGAGTGCTCCCAACAAGGCAGCACTGCTTTTACAGCCTTTCTAGATCTCTAGCTCAATCCAACGGGAGCATTATATATGTATATATCAGAGACTGAAAGTTGATGACAGCCCTCCTGTCCAAAGGACCAGGCCCTTCATGTGTCAGTGCATTCCACTCCTTTGTTTAATAAAAAATCCTTTGAGTCAAACACATATCAACACGAAGTAACTCCAGTCTGTCCTGCCAGCATAAGTACTTATACCTTTGCTCGGGTCCACAGCCGAGTGAGAAATGGCCAACCCGCAAACACAATCAGTCCAGCTGTCAGCATATAGCGGTAGAAGAAACTCAACACCTGGTGACATATTGCCAAAAAAATGAAGAGTAAGGACACTTAAGACTAGCATCATGAAATGCAAGACACTTGGAGATGCAGTCTGGTCAGGTACTCACCAGTACTTCAATTCCCAAGACAAAGACAAGTAAGTAGGTCACAAAATGCCTCGGAGGAAAAGTCAACAGTGATGCAACCAGGTCTTGAATAACTTGATATCTGTTTGAGAAGACAATTTACAAAAAGATTACTTCTAATTTGCAAAGCACTTTAAAATAGCAACATAGTGAAAAAAATAAAAGCTGCTGAAAGCTAAAAAGAAAATACCAGAAATTTCCATTCATAAATTTTTTGAAATTTAGATATTAAGATAAAATATAGCATTTGCTTACTTTTATTGGTGGAAATCTTTAAGTATTTTGGGAAAAATGATGACACATATTTGCTTGGTTTTTTTTTTTTTTTTTTCGGTTTTTCGAGACAGGGTTTCTCTGTATTGTTTTGGAGGCTGTCCTGGAACTTACTCTGTAGACCAGGCTGGCCTCAAACTCACAGAGATCCACCTGCCTCTGCCTCCCGAGTGCTGGGATTAAAGACGTGCGCCACCAACGCCCGGCTTAGTTTTTATAAATGTTAATGACAACAAATTATTCTTCTCTCTTACCTATTTATTTATTTGGTTGGTTTTGGTTTTTCGAGACAGGGCTTCTCTGTGTAGTCTTCGCTGTCCTGGAACTGGCTCTGTAGACCAGGTTAGCCTCAGACAGAGATCTGCCTGCCTCTACCTGCAAGTGCTGGAATTAAAGGTGTGCACCACCACTGCCTGGCTCAATAAATGATTTTTGTATGATCTTAGTTTAAACAAAGGTACACACATTACAGATATTCCAGAAAGAAAATAACCCAAAAGTATAGAAACTGAAAAAAAAATACTGAAACTAACCTGGATAACCTTATATCTACCACTGAGCTACATCCACAGTCTTAGGAGGGAAAGTCTTCATTGCATTTATTGACTTGTTTATTGACTTATTTATTCGTTTGTTCATTTAATTGCAATCCCAAGGACTAAACCTATGTACGGCTCTATACATGCCAGACATCCACTCTGACACTAAGCTAAAGCTCCAGCCTTTCGTTTAAACTTTATTTAGTCAGGATGGCCTCAAAACTCCAGTTTTTGTGCCTTTGCCTCCTAAGGAGATGGGATTATAGACATGCACCACTACTCTTAGCTTAATTGCACTTTTAAATTGAGCCAATAACCTTTTCCAAACCCAATTTAAGATATCATTAATTGTACACTAATTGTAATTGAGAATTTATAACCACCAAAAATGCATTACATACTTGAGTACATTTTACATTTCATCACCAAGAAGAAAAACTTAGCATTTGTCGAGCATTAAGTAGGTAATTATAAAAGGCCAGTGTCATTTGGTTTATGACATTTTTCTGATTGAAAATATTGGCTGTAGAATAGAATGTTATCACACTGCTAAGTAGCCACCTCGGAAAGAAAAGTCAGAACCACAAGAAGAATATCTCTTTTGTTTTCTGCTGTAATAAGCAAAGAAGCAAAAAAGATTAAGTCATTTCAGAGGATTTTTATTCTAGAAAAAATGGGTTAAATATTCCATTTTATTTGCTTATTTTGTGGGTATATAAGTGTGTGAATGTGCACGCCATAGTGTGCATGTGGAGGTCAGAGAAGAACCTGCAGGAATCTGTTCATTCCTTTATCACCCATGGAGCCTTCTAGCAGCATGAAAACTCACTTTTTATGTTTTATTTTCCATGCAACCTATTAAAAGGGTAAAATAAAATATAACTGAAAAATCACATCTTCCCTTAAAATTTAAATATACATACGCTATCTCTACAATTAAGCTATTTAATAATTCAGAAGAGGCTCTATTGTAGAGCAGAATTTTCTTCCTGCCTAGAAAACCTTTTAGAAAATTGTGAAACCAGAAAAATGATATCAGGAAAACAAACAAAACCTATGAGCTAACTAAGCAAACCAACAGCCTTACTCCTTTTAGATGGCAATGTCACAGTGTGTTCTTTTATCTTTTTCCTTATATCTAAAGATATTTGAGGCATTTCCATGTTTTATTTCTTATATTTTAATATCTCAATATTTTTAAATGATATTTTTAGAAAATAGAATAATCAAGGATATTGAATATTAGAATAAAAATATTAGAATAAAAAATATATAGTATCAGGACCCACATGCTAGCCAGCTGCCTTGTATTTATTTGTTTAGAAAGTCTTTTCCTAAAGAGCCCAGACCTGGAAATCCAGATCTTCCTGCTTTTATCTCCCCAGTACTGGGATCACAGCATGCACTATCACACCCAGCCTGTTATGCAATCTTAAAGATGCTCTTCAAAGTGTTTGAAACCTGAAGGAGTGCTTTCCTTTTGGGTTGAGTGTAATAATAAGATCACTTTTACACCATGGTGACATACTGCTTATGATCTTTATTGCCTGAAGATCAGAATGCAAAGCTAGCCATAGCCATAGAGGCCAGGCAGCAGCCACACTAGTCAGCCAAAAAGGCTGGGCAGTGGTGGTGTGTGCCTTTAATTCCAGCACTAGAGAGGTAGAGCTTAGGGTCCTCTCATGTGGTATTCAGCATTCAGTCTTCTGCATTCAGTCTCATTGAGTCTGAGGAACAGTTCAATGGAGATGCAATCTGAAGCCAGGATTACCCTCCCAGTCTGAGGTAGAGGTAAGAGCTAGTAACTGGTTGTTTTGCTTCTCCAATCTTTAGCTTTAACGTCAATATCTGTCTCTGGGTTTTTATTATTCATACTACAGGGTCACTGCTTCCCCAAGGCAATACAAGTGAAGTCAAAAAGGTAAATCAAAAGGGATGTTTAATATGTAACATTATGCAGTTGTAAACAAAAAGAGTATTCGGACATTTGAGAGTATGATGACTGTCTTTTATGACTTATGCTATAGAAAACTTGTTGGGGGATATTCAATCACACTATGAACTCTGAGTTTACATTTGCGTTAACTAAATAAAATTAACCTTGGGTTAGGAGGCTAAGTTAGCAACTAGTTGACTGAATGTAATCATAGAGCATTAGAGGCCATCTGGAAGAGATAAAGAAGACTTTTGAGTGAAATGGCTTTTCTGTTTTGGTGGAGAGCAAGTATGAGCTTTTTGGAAAACACCAAGGAGATATGGAAGGAGTCAGACATACAGAATAAAAGAAAAGTAAAAAAAGACACATGGTAAAACACAGATTAATATAAATGGGTTAATTTAAGTTATAAGAGCTAGTTAGGAGCAAGTCTAAGCTATAGGTTAAGCTTTCATAATTAATAATAAGTCTCCGTGTTGTTTTTTGTGAGCTGGCAGCCCCAAGAAAAGTTCATCTACAAAATCTAATGCGTTTTAAATGCCGATTTAACTGCAAATGAAGTGGAAAATAAAACATGCTACTTACTCTCTTAGAACTGCATACCAAATTGGCACTGGCAGCAAGCAATACACATAGTAAGTCCAGGGACAGACTTGGATAAGCAGGAAACACACCACTAAAACACCGATAGCGACAAAGCTACATGGCAAGAGATGGTGTGGCTTCTGAAAAAGAAACACAACATTCAAATACATCCAAACCCATGTCAATTACTCTATAAAGGGAAATTTTTTTCTTCCTATGTTTCTTCAACTAGATGATTAATCAGAATTCTTTCAAAATGAAAACTCTATCATTTGAGGGTGAGCATATCAGGAAAGAAACTAGATATCCTAGAATGGTTACCATCAAGCGATTCTCAGCTGCAGAATGACAATGGTCCTAAAGTTTGTAAATAACTCCTTCAGAAGTCTTGGCATAGTTCCTTGCAGCAACAATTTCTCTAAATGTTGACTTGCTTTTGTGGCTAGCTTACAAGGACCTATTTATCATATAATACATTATTCTTCATTTGGAAATAAACTTTCTTTCTACTCAAGCTCCAATCTGCCATCCTCTCTCCCATTACCTAAACAGTTAGGCGGCTCCTTCAGTTTTAGTTACTGTTCTCAAACATCTGCTAAATAAAAAATTTCCTACACGTAAGTCACTAATGCCAGCTTCACAGACTACTCTTGGTACTCTGTGCCAGGTGTAAGTGCAAGGGTCAGGAACACACAGTTCAGGAACAAGGAAAGGGGCACATTTAAGGGAACATAATAATGCTAAGAACTACAGTTCCATGGTCTGAAGCAGTGGCTACAAAATGGTACAGAGTACAGTAAGCACCTCAGAAAATATTAAGAGAGAAGAAATTAATGGGGGGTGTGAAAGGGGAGCTCTTTGTCTCCATCCCATGTTTTCTGCTTCCTCAGGCTGTTAGCTAAGGGTAAATGTAGTAGGAATTAAGAACATTTGTCTGGAAATGCACAAAATTATGGAGGAAGAAATATTAAATATTTTCCATCTCTTTTTGATGTTTTTCTATACTGCATAGAATATCATGAAGTAAGAATCAAGGATAAGCTAGAATACCAATGTAAAAGAAAGCTGAAACCCAGAATTGTAACTAAGAGCTTGAGGTTCAAGTCCATAAACTGTCTATGATACTGTGATGGATGACCTTGGTTGTCAACTGTACACACCTGGGAAGAGGGAACTGCAAGTGAGGAACTGCTTCCATCAGGTTGGCTTGTGAGCATGTCTGTGAAGCACTTTCTTGATTAACAACTAACATGGGAGGGATCAGTACAAAGTATAAAGCTTCCCTTAGACAAAGTTTTCTATCCATAATATGGGAACAATAAATGTATACATATTTCTCAGTAATAAGAAATCAAATTCATAGGGCTTAACAAAGTAGCTAGAACATTATTGCTGCTTACTAAATGATGGTTATTATTTTTTTTGTTCTTCTTTGCATTAGTCTCAGCAATCATAGAATCTTTCAATCAATAGCACAAGAAATGTGTGACTAATATCATGTAGGATGGCCACATGTGTTTGTTTCTTACCTACATTATTTAATACCAAGATTTTTCATGGTAAAATATATATGTCATATTTCTCTGTAGAATACCTAGCATTGTACTGTATACTCAATTAAATACTTACTGCACTATCAAACTAATAAGCAAAAAGAACTACCAACAATAAATTCTGGGCACATTAAGAAAACATCATATTTTCTCTTAATGTTCTGAACAGTAAGAGGAAACAAGCAGTCTTTGGCCCAGATCTCAGTCCCCTGCACACTGACTGGGAGGCTGTTACAAAGTTTAGTTAATTCCCCTCAGCTCAGTCTCATCTTTTATAAACAGAAGTGACAGTGCAGTTAGAGGCGAGGATGGAAGTAGACATTTCAAGGACTCAGTAGAACTAGATGCATCTCTCCATTACCAAAACATAATCATTTGTGTATTTCTCTAACATATAGGAAATAATTCCCTTTAAAAGCAACTTCAAATACATTGAAATAATTAAAATTACTTGGAAGAAATTATTTAAGGTGCATTACAGAGCTGTAAAAACTCAAAATTAAGCAATAATGTTCTTCCCTACATTAAAACAAATAAAATGTAAAATGTAAAAGTTACCATTAGAAATGTTTATAGACCATTATTATTAAAAATATACTAGGATTTGGACATGGTAATAATCGTTACAGAGAATGAAGCAAAGGAAATGGAGGTAGGATACTCTGCCTGGTAAATGACAGTCAGCAATACACTTTAAGATAGCAAAGTGGTTTAAAGCAATAAAACCATGTATGTACTGTTATAGTCTCTATTTAGAGCAATGATTCTCAACCTGTGGGTCATGACCCCTTTGAGGGGTGGAAGAACCCTTTCACAAGAGTCACCTGAGGTAATTGGAGAACATAGATATTTACATTGTAATTCATAACAGTAGCAAAATTACAGTTATGAAGTAGCAATGAAAATAATTTTACGGTTGGGGTCATACAACATGAAGAACTGTATTAAAGGATCACAGCACTGGGAAGGTTGAGAAGCACTGGTTTAGAAGTTTGACCTTTTCCTTTCATTGAAAGTGTGTAAGCTAGGCTTGCATTCTGAAAACAAGGGAAAGAACACTCTGGAAGTGTACAAGTCAGAAAGTTGAAGTAGGAGGAAAGCCAAAGAAGCATAAATATTACTTTCTTTAATTTTTATTAATGTTTAAACAGTGATATTATTGTTTGTCTAGCTATTAATATGAGATAACTATACATATACCACTTTGGAGTGGTTTGGATTTTTTTCTGTTTTTTTTGTTTGTTTGTTTGTTTTTGAGACAGAGTTTCCTGTGTAGCCCTGGCTCTCCTAGAACACACTCCGCAAACAAGGATGACCTTGAACTTAGAAATCCACCTGCCTCTGCCTCCTAAGTACTGTGATGAAAGCTGTGTACCACCATGCCTGGCTTGAAGTGGGATTTTCTTTTGTTTTCAAAAGATTTCTTTACTATTATTTCATTAATGTGTATGTCCCTGCATGAATTCATGTGTTATGTGTAATCAGATGTCTGGGGAGGCTAGAAGCCATTGGATTCCCTGGATCTGGAGTTACAGGAACCAAAATTAGGTCCTCAACAAGAGCAATAAGCATTCTTTTCCTCTGAGCTATCTCTACAGACCTTGAAATCCTTTTCTAATAAGCTATTCTAGAAGTATGTGGAATACTTAAATTGAGTAGTTATTTTTAAAAACAGAAACTCAGAATCATTAAGACTATGCTTCTCTTGAGTTACAGAGCGGTGTTAGCAATGTATCCTCTTAGCCACTGAAAACACAGATACAACATAAAACACAGTAATACAAAGAAAGCAAAGGACAGACACATCGGTTCACTTACTCCTACAGTTTTACATTCTAAGAGCTCATTATACTTGATTTGATTCGGTTTCTTAGTCCTTACATCTTCTGAACTTACCTTAACTTCCTTCCTAGCACTTCTTGTGAGATTAGAATGAGACTTGAGGATTAACAAAGAAGCATAAGATGTCCATCCCACAAAACCAACTGCAACACTGATGCCCAAAAAGAGTCTGTCATAAGTGTGATAATAGGACAATCCTTTCAATGCAAGATCAATCAGCTCTTCACAGAGGGAGACCTATGGGGACAAAACATAAGAAGATCTTGCAGTGAACAATGAAAGCCAAGTCTCCCAAATCAAGGAAAACTGGCATTCCATAGAATCAAACCTCTAAGTAGACTAGAGTGAATAAGTATGGATGAGAGGATTAAGAACAGATTTCAACTCTGAGGATCTTGAAAAACATGAAAAAAAAACCCTCAAAATAAAACAAGATTTTTCAATTTGGGAAGCTAGTGCATTTTAATGGAAACTGTCTATGATCTATGTAGTGCTTGAAAGTAATTCACTATGCAGAAATGCTTCTCAGATGACTCATAGAGAAAATGAAGGTTCTCTATCATATATCCCAAATAATGGAAAAGTCCATATGTATATACATATGTAAGCATGTGTACATATGCATTATATTTTACTTCTGTGTCACACTATGCAAATACACTATAAAGCATCACCAAAATAACAATGTTAGAAGAAAAGAATAGTTTAGTGAGCTGGGGATATAGTTTAGTGGTAGAATACTTGACTAGAATATGAGAGGCCCTGGGTTCAAACACTACCAAGGAAAATCCTAGAATTTAAAATCATATTTAAAACTTACAAATATACAAATGGTAAGTATTTAGACAATTTTAAAGATGGAAGTAAAATTTTTAGTGAGGCATGGTGACACATGTCTGTATGTTGAACTGCTTTAGAGGCTGAGGTAGGAGACTTGCAAATTTGAGAGTAGCCCGGGAAACTGCAATTCTCTGGCCAAAAAAAAAGTAGACAAACTGATGAATTAAATAAATAAAATAGTGCTAGGGATGCAGCTCAGTGGTAGAGTACTTTCTTAGCATGAACAGAACCTTATGTTCAACCCCTTGTAATGAAGATGCAATACAATATAGTACAATACAGAATCACAGTGGGGTAGAGGCAGTTAGAGTCAAAGCTTTGTTATGAATGCTGTGGTGTAAATGGCAAATAGGGTGCTCTGCACCTCATGAGAGGATGATGGTTACTTGAAGTTTGTTCTTTTCAGTAAAAAAAAAAAAAAGCAATAGAGTTCCTACAGTTCCTTTCTAAAGCCAAACAAAAAACCACCAGTCACAGATGGTCTGACGTAAGGAGAAGCATGTCTGAGGCTAAAGGCCCTCCTCAGGAAACCCCCCAGACTGCCTGGGATCCCACAGATAGCTCACCCTGCCCTGACCCCAAGCCCATCAACTTACTACTTCATCAAATTTTTCTTGTTTTATGTAAGACCTTGCTTTTCTTAAAGTATCCAACTGTTGAGAATCAGAGAGCAACCTACAAAAGAAAAAGAAGAGTTTTAGTGTTTCCTCATTGGTTTCTATCATTTCTGGCTTTTTATTATTTTTTGAAAATAAGACAGTAAAACCTGAGAAACAAAACAAAGCCAAGTAAAAATGGAAAAGAAAGGAAACATTAGGTTAAACTGTACTGTTGCTGGCTATCTGAATGCCTCTAAGAAAGAGATTATGGCTAAATTTCGTTTTCTTGACCCCAGATTTCCTTTTCATTTTTTTTTTTGGTAGTGCAAGAAAGCCTTGGACATGGTGAGCACATGCCCCGCTGATGAGTCATACTCCAATCTCTGCCACAAAGCTTCAAACACCAACTACATAAACCATCATTCATTCTATAGAGATTTAAGGTCATGACAAAGAAATTCTGATTAAATCAAGGTAATTAATAGACCACTAAGCCTTGCTGTGTATATACTAAATACAAAAATAGGGTAGCATAGTAACTCGTTGAGTGCACTTTGTATGCCTGATCAAAACAGGTCCTAAGAATTAAAGCACATTATAGAACTGCTCCAGCAGAGCCTAACCAACAATGGGAGTTAATGAATAATTGGAACCTATTCAGCATTCTTGCACTACAACGTGTTCAGAGGAATACTAAAGAATAGAGAATAACCCAAAATTACATAAGCCCAAAGGCATTATTAACATTATAGAATAAAGAAAGCAACAAATGTCATCAGAATAATAACCTTTATGAAATGAATATGTATGCAAATTTGAATATGCACTGCTGAACTAAGCCTACATTCCTGAAGTGAATACCATCCATGACATCTTTACACACAAAAAGTTACTGAAGGCAATGGAAGTTGTGTGGCATATGACAAAGACTATGACAACTGTATATGATTCAACACATCATAATCAGTGGTTCCCAAGCTCTAATGAGACTTAACTTTGATGAGAAGTATATCTTTTAAATAATTTCAGGTGGAACAGTCCGAAATTTATTTTAGAATTTGAGACTCTTCTCTAGATAAAACATACAATCCCAAACCTTGTGTTTTTCCAAAAAAATTAATGAACCACAGAAGACTACCTTTGAACTTTCTTGTATTCCCCAGGAATCCCTAATTAAGCATCGATGTTGAGAGATAACTCACTGGTTAAGAGCACTTGCTGCTCTTCCAGAGGACTTCAGTTCAGTTCCCAGCATCCATGTTAGGTGGCATGCAATTGCCTATAACTGCAGTTCTGGAGGTTCAATGCTCTAGCGTGCGCGCGCAGACACACACACACACACACACACACACACACACCTACACATAATTAAAACAACTACAAATAAACTTAAAAGGAAAAAAACAACCTGTTTTGATTCTAAGATCTCCCAGTGCATTCAACTGAGGAGTTGTTTCTGACTATGGGAGAAACCATCATATTCCCATCCTCACCCTTCACAGAATTTACTTAGACCTGTAAAAAAAGGTGTTGGTCAGAGCCCAGAAGCAGCATCAGTGAGTGGCCCAAATCCCAACCTTGTAGCAGTCTTAGAGGAAGGCCTGAGCTTCATTCAGGTCTGGATCAGCATTCAAGAGAGCCACTGAGTCTCAGAACCAGAAGCAGTGTCAGAGAGGCCCCAGCCTCAAACCTGGAAGCAGTGTTGGTGGTAGATTTGAACTACAGGCCCTGAGTAGCATCAGTGAGAGGTCCAAGTCACAGCCGGGAAGCAGCAACAGACAAAGGCCAAGATTCCGGCCCGGAGCAGTGTCAAGGGAGCCACAAGCCTCAGAACTGGTAGCACTGTTAGAGGGAGGACCTAGCCTCAGCCCCAGTAGCAGGGAGTGATCACCAGGTGAAGCAACAGCAATGCTTTCCAGAAACTATTGCAAAAAGTTCCTCTGGGAAAGATCACCTGTGTCCTAGCTAGCATCCACTGCCATTTCTCAGTGGGATACAACCCCACTACTACACCAAATCAGTCCCATCTACACCTCCAACGGGAGGAACATTCACCAGAGCTGTAGCCCCACCTGCACCACAAGGAGTGACCACCTAACATTGGGCCCACTTCCACCGGGAGGAGTGTTCACTGGAAGCTCTGCTCTACTTGTGCCTGAAGGAGTGGTCAAGGGAGCCACAGTCCCCAACTGTACCAATTGGAAAAAGAGAGAATCCCTGAAGCACAAACTCTACCTACACCTATTAGAGGAAGAGATGCATAGACAACAAGGTAAGAACACACTCAAACAATGTAAAGAGCAATAAGGCACCACTAGAAACGAGTGCTGCTACAACAGCAAGACCTGAGCATTCCAACACAGATGAAGTAGAAGAAAATGACCTAAAAATAACTTTGTGAGGGTGATAGAGGCCCTTAAAGAGGAAAAGACAAAACATTGGAAGATATCAACAAATCCCTTAAAGAAAACCAAGAAAAAGTAATCAAACAAGTGAAGGAAATTATTCAAGACATGAAATCTGAAACAGAGGCAATAAAGAAAACACAAACTGAGGGAATTCTGGAAATGGAAATTCTGGGTAAATGATCAGGAACTACAAATACAAGCATAAACAACAGAATGCAAGAGATAGAAAAGAAAATTTCAGGCATTGAAGATAACTTGGAGGAAATTGATTCATTGGTCAAAGAAATTTTTAAATCCAACAAATCCTTAACACAAAACATGCAGGAAATCTGGGACACCATGAAAAGACCTAAGCTAAGAGGAGAAGAAGTCCAACTCAAAGGCACAGAAAATACATTCAACAAAATCATAAAAGTTCCCCAATCTACAGAAAGAGATCCCTGTGAAGATACAAGAGGATTACAGAATACCAAATAGACTGAACAAAGAAGTCTCCTCATTATATAATAATCAAAACAACAAACATACAAAATAAAGAAAGAATATTAAGAGCTGAAAAGGAAAAACACAAGGTAACATACAAAAGGCTAACCTATCAGAATTACACCTGACTTCTCAGAGAAAACAATGAAAGTCAGAGGGTCCAGGTCAGAGGTTATGCAGACACTAAGGGACTACGGATGCCAGCCCAGATACTTTACCCAGTAAAGCTCTCAGTAACTATAGATGGAGAAAGCGAAATATTTCATGATAAAACCAAATTTAAACAACACCTATCCACAAACCCAACCCTACAGAAAGTACTAGAAGGAAAACATCAACCCAGGAAATCACCTACATCCACAAGAACACAGGAAATAGATGAGTTTAGAGCAGCAAACCCCAAAAAAGGCAATTGAACACACAATGCCATCACCAACAACAAAAACAAAAATAACAGGAACTAACAATCACTGGTCATTAATATCCATTAATATTAATAGTCTCAATTCACTTATAAAATAACACAGGCTAACAGATTGGATAAGAAAACAGAATCCATCCTTCTGCTGCATACAAGAAACACACCTCAAACTCAAAGAAAGAGTAAAGGGTTAGGAAAGACTTTTCCAATCAAATGGACCTAAGAAACAATCTGTGTTACTACCCTAATATCTAACAAACTAGACATCAAATTAAAATCAACCAAAAAAGATAAAGAAGGGCATTTCATATACATCACAGGAAAAAAATTCATCAGGAGGAAGTCTCAATTCTGAACATCTATGACACAAGAGTTCCTACATTTGTAAAAGAAACATTACTAAAGCTTAAAGCCCCACACATTAATAGTGGGAGTCTTCAACATCTAACTCTCACAACTGGACAGGTCTGCCAGACAGAAGCTTGACAGAGAAATAAGAGAACTAGCAGAGGTCATGACTTAACACACATCTATAGAACATTACACCCAAACACAAAGAATATTCTTTCTTTTCAGCAGCACCTCATGGAACCTTCTCAAAAATAGACAACATACTTGGCAACAAAGCAAACCTCATCAGATACAAAGAAAATATTGGAATAAGCAACTGTACCCTCCCAGAACACCACAACTTAAAACTAGAATTCAATAGCAGCATTAATTTCATAAATCCCACAAACACATGGAAATTGAACAATGACCAACTGAACTACCACTGGATCAAGGAGGAAATAAAGAAAGACTTCCTAAAATTTAATGAAAATGACCTCACAACATACCCAAACACATAGGACACAATGATAGCAGTGCTGAGGGGGAAATTCATAGCATTAAATGTCTATATAAAGATTCAGGAAAAATCGTACACTAGTGAATTAACAGAACAACTGAAAGAGCTAAAAAAAAAAAAAAGAAGCAAACTCACCAAGAAGGAATAGACAGCAAGAAATTGTCAAATTGAGGGCTGAAGTCAATAAAATAGAAACAAATAAAACAATGCAAAGAATCAATGAGACAAAGAGTTGCTTCTTTGAGAAATTCAACAAAACAGACAAACCTTTATCCAAACTAACCAAAAGACAGAGAGAGAATATACAAATTAACAAAATTAGAAATGAAAAGGGATACATAACAACAGACACTGAGGAAATCCAGAGAATCATCAAGCCACACTTCAAAAACCTGTACTCCACAAAATTGGAAAACTTTAAGGAGATGAACAATTTTCTAGATAAGTACCACATACGAAAATTACATCAAGAACAGATAAACAACTTAAATACACCTATAACCCCTAAGGAAATAGAAACAGTTATCAATAGTCTCCCAACCAAAAAAAAAAAAAAAAAGCCCAGGCCCAGATGGATTCAGTACAGAATTCTACCAGAAATTCAAAGAAAAGCTAACATCAATACTCCTCAAATTATTCCACACAATAGAAACAGAAGGAATACTGGCAAACTCTTTTTATGAGGCTACAATTACACTGATACCCAAACCACACAAAGACACAACTGAGAAAGAGAATTACAGACCAATATCCCTCATGAACATAGATGCAAAAAAATAAAATACAGGAAAATCGAATTCAAGAACACATCAGAAAAATCACCAACCATGACCAAGTAGGATTCATCCCAGAGATGCAAGGATGGTTCAACATATGAAAATTTATCAATGTAATCCACCATATATACAAACTGA